GCTTAACCAGAGAGGCACAGTGTGTGTGTGTGGTGGGGGGGGGCGGGGTGGGGAGAAAGCAAGCTGCCAGATCTGGGACTCGAACCGCAGCAGGCCATGTGGGAGTTCAGCACCCTTAATCACCATGCCACTTGTCAGCCCCTAGTTTCTGGTTATATCAGCAGTTCTCAAAAGGAGGGTGTCTTTGCTGCCAAAGAAGAGCTGGCAATGTCTGGAGACATTTTTGACTGTCTCGACTAGAGAGGTGGGTAGTGGGCACCTAGTGGGTAGAGGTCAGAGATGATGCCCAACTAAAAACCATGTACAGGAAGCCTCTCACAACAAAGCATTATCTGGCTCCAAATATCAATCATGGCAAGCTTAAGAAACCCTGACAACGAAATGCCTAAAAGGAAACTGACAAAATAAACTATGGGACAAGGGCCAGTTCCATAGCTCAGCAGTCTTAGGAGCTGGATCTCACACAGCCAACCACACACAGCTCGAACCCCAGCCCAGGCTGCTAGAAAAACAAGCTGGGTGCATGTGCCTGTGGGAAGGAGGACTGGAGGAAAAAGGACTGTGGTGAGACTGTGCCCCACTGGGGAGTGCTCACACACTCTGTCTCTCTGTCTCTCTCGCTCAATAATAACTGTAATTATTATTTATGAAGAGGATGGGCTGTCTCTGTGGTACAGCAATTAATGTGCTACTTAGGAGAAGTCAGATCCCATATGGCAACCATGGTTCTAATTTTTACCTGGACAACCTGAAACATGCCAGTCACATGCACAAGTGCCCAAGATCTGTCCAGATCATGGCATGACCAGATTGTGGAGGGTACTTGTCTGTCCACTCGTCATCCTTCATCACCCACTCCCCGCTCCTGTCTTTCACTGTCACATGTGCATACACATGCTCTAAAAAGAATAAGGAAAATAATAAAGAGTAACAGAGTAAATGTGGAGCAACATTAACTATGAAGTAAGAGTGAGCTCTCTGGCTACGTGGAAAGGTAAGGAGTCCACAGAGTGGAGAACATGAGACAACATGATTCACGATAGTCAAGCCGTATTTTTTTGGAGAGGTTTTTGCTATAAGGCGCGTGGGCTCGCCAGAGAGAGAGAAACAGAGAGACAGAAAGCGAGAAATCACCCCCTGGGGAGATGGCCATGCTGCAATCCTTTCTCCTTTCTACTCTTAGGATGTTGGGCACACACGCACACGCGCCCGGTGTGAGTTTAAGCCATGGGGTCTGGGACTTGAACCACGGTCAATTACATGGGAATCCAGCGACATAGCCATTATGCTAACTGCTGGTCCCAACTATAGTCAAGCCTTTAATAGAAATCCTCTGGTGCTCTCACCAAAAATCAATGACTAGTTCTCACTACTTGCTTATGCACAAAACCGCTTGCAGCCTGATTAAGATAATGAAAACAAAAGCCAACACTTTTCCTCTCATTACTACATTCCAAATCCAGAGTGTAATGTCTCCTGGTCTGAAAACAGGAGCAGGAAAGACCTTAAACAATATACTCTTCTTTCCTGTTTCTAAAATTTAAAACCATCTGCTAACTAGGCTAGAAACAGACAAGTTAACTGTAGTCCTGAGAAAACCGTCCAACTCAAAGACCATGATTAACTCAGAACTCCCCGGCAACACAACACTCCCTTCATTGGCATGTCTTAAAAGAAAATTTCTTCGGACCAGTAGATTGCATAATGGTTAAGGTGCTGGACTTCCACATGTTCAAGTCCCAGACCCAGAGGCTTCAAACTTGTGCCAGGTGCATGTGCATGCGTGTCCAAAATCTATAGAGGAGTGTGGGAGGCTGTGCACCAGAGAGTCTGCTGAGGCCATTTTCATGAGTCTCTTACTATTGCCATCTTAGGCTCAGAGAGCAAACAATTACACAATGACAAAGGCCATGATTGGCTCCCCTTCAAAACCTCACCTTCAAAACCATACTCTGGACACAAGAATCCCTCAGATTTGCATATCCGGCACCTCATGATTGGTCCACAAAAGCAACCAATCATAACCCACCTTTTACAATCCTTCATTTAACCAGTCACCGCCCACCAACATGTATATAACCACGATCCCTGGCACGCAATAAACGGAGGACCCTGAAGAGCTGTAACACTATGTCTTCCCGGTGCTGTAACATTGTGCCATTCGTCCCCTCTCTCACTCCTTCCCTCAGAAACCTGTTTGACTGTCCTGCGGGTCGGGACAGAGGAGAATGGAGGAGAAGGGACTGCAGCATAGCAATTTCTCCTAGGGGGGTGATTTCTCGCTTTCTGTCTCTCTTTGTCTCTCTGGTGAACACACATGCCCTATAGCAAAAATCTCTCTAAAAAAAAAAAAGTTTCTTTTCCTGCTCTTTAGACAAAAAATAGTTTTCAGATAGTTTTTTTTCTCTTCTTGTTTGTAAGGGCCTATAAAGCTAGGCTACTCCTTCCCCAGGAGGTGATCCATTTGGGCATCCCCTTCCACTCTGCTAGAAGCTTTTATTCTTTCCTAAGTGATCCATTTTGAAAAGATCGTGGGAACTGACTATTTTTGCATTTCTCTGTAAGTTTAAAGTATTTTTCAAGATAAAAAGTAATAAAACGGTCTCCAAATTCATGTTTTCCTTATGATTATTCAGGATCATCACTATTTTTTATTTTCTTCAGGATAAAGCACATTTATCAAGACTGCAGAAAGTTCACTCTGAGAGAATGTCCTCATCTCATCAGCAGCAACGGACAGTCCTGACACCTCACTCCTTTTGACGCTTTCCTTCACTCGGCTTCGAGAAGACCACATGACTTTCTGACTTGTCTGTTACCTTGGTGGCTGACCTTAGGATGATCTATAGATTCTGCTCCCATCTCCCTGATCATAAAAGCCAGAGTTCCCCGCCTTAGTATCTCACCAAGTGATCTCTTCTCGAGGTACACTGTTAGTGTACCTTAGTGAGTTTTAGTGACCGAGAGCCCATCAATGCTCTGCTGACTCTTAATTTACATGTTACCCAAACCTCTCTACGAATTTCCAATGTCACAAATTAAATAACTACATAGATATCTAAGAGTCTTCTCAATATTCTTTCAAAAGGTCTTCCTCTGTCCACACCATAAAGTCTTCCTTATCCCAGTAAATGGTAACTCCATCTTTACAGCTGCTCAGGACAAAAATTTTGGGGTTATCCCCAATGCCTGTCTCTTCCAATCTACATGAAATACATCAACGAATTCTCTCTGCTCTACCTTCAAAGTATGTGCCGAATCTAACCACTTCCTATTACTTCCACAAGCACTGGGCTGGGCTAAGTCTCCGTCATCTTCTGCTGGTTATTCCAGAGGGATTCGTGCTTCTACTACTGCTCCCCTATAGCCACAAAGACCTTTATCTGGGGCTGGCAGGAGGCATGGCGGTTAAGGGCAATGGACTCCCACATGGGACTGCAGTTTAAGTCCCAGATCTGGCAGCTTGCTTTCTCACTTTCTCTCCCTGTCCTTCTCTGGTCAAATTAAAATAAACAAAGTTAAATAAAAAATGATTAAAAAAAAAATCTTAACAATTGGGAAAAAAATGATGAAAAGCGATTTGATGATGATGTGGATAATAATGTCTTTGTCTTGACTGATATGCAAGGTATTCCTTTTGAAAAAAGCGATGTAATATACTGTAAAGATATGTGATTCAATGCAATATAAACAAGATTATGATTATTAAAAAAAAGACATTTTCCCCATTTAGGTCAGATCATTTTCCTCCACTGCTCAATGCACTGCATGGACTTCCTATCTCATTCAGAATAAAAATCACACAGCCTATGAATTGAACATAATTCAGCTGCTCCTACCCCACTCCTTATTCTGTGATCTCAGGGCCTTTCCTCTGTATCATTTATTTGCCTCCCACTTTCCTCAGAAGGACCAGGCCTAACACCTCCTCAGAGGAGCTGAAAATGCTATTCTGAATACCTGGAGTACCCCACCTCCTGTATCTACTTGGATCTCTTACTCCCTTCACATCTCTGCTCCTGAATCATCTTCTCAATGAAGCCTTTCCCAACAGTGCTGCTCAGAAACCAGGTCCTGACCCTAAACCCCCCATTCTCTTGCTGGTAGCCCGTAATACTTATTCTCTGACACGCTACATGCTTTATTATCTTTCTACTTGACTAGTACACAAGGTCCACGAAGGCAGGGACTGGTTTGTTCACTGCTGTATTTCTAATCATCAAATGGTGCCTAGCCGTAGAATGCAACCAATAACTATGTTAAAACGGTGATTCAAGTGATGAAACAAATGATGAAACAGTTAGAGATGATCGATGGTACCAGTTATAATTATCCTACCTAGAGAAGGTTAAAATAAATTAAATCTTTTTCTCACTAAAACATTAAAGAATCACCTAGAAACATACACATATATGTGCACACACACACACACACACACATAGAATCTCTGCATATCTGTAATTTGGAAAAATAACCAAAATATGATCAAGAAAGGCAAAAGGAAAAAAGGAAGTCACCAAAATATTTCAAATTAATTTCCTGAAAAAGAACATTGTATACATTAATCAATTAAGTGGCTTACACTATAATTACTGTGTCTTTGTTGAATTTCTTCTCTTGAACTGTACTGGAGCAATTTGGGGAAACGACATCTTCACTATCAGAAGACAAATCAATATACTGTATTCCTTTTTGATTCTCGAAATAGGATATACTTGTTTTTCGTTCATTATCTGGAGGTTCTGGAACACTTGAGTCCTCTACAAAAAACAAAAAGCAGAAAGGCATTTTGAGGAAATTAAAAATTAAAAAATTTCTTTTTGATAATTATAATCATGAGCAAACAATCTAATTTAGCTCATTCATAGTTTCTATTTTTAAATTTTTAGGTTTTGCCATAGGGCATGTGTACTCATTGGAAAGAGACAGAGAGCACGAGTGATTAAGAAATCACCCCCAGGGACCAGCAGTTAGCATAATGGCTATGTCACTAGACTCCCATGTAGTTGACCACAGTTCAAGTCCCAGACCTGGTGGCTTAAACTCATGCTGGGCACGTGTGCGTGTGTGCCCAAGATCCCAAGAGGAGAAGAGAGAAGGGATTGCAGCGTGGCCTCCCCTCTGTGGAGTGATTTCTTGCTTTCTGTCTCTCTATCTCTGTCTTTCTGGCAAGCACACGGTGCCCTATACCAAACCACCCCCCCAAAAAAAATAAGGTTAGCCCAACTGTCTAGAGGTTAGAGCCAGGTACCACATAACAGACCATGGTTTGAATCCCAGCCCACGCATCTTGAAAATCATGCTGGACCTGTGTGTGTGTGTGTATATGTCTGTGCATGTACACATGCCCCAAACCCTGACGGGATGGAGAAATAAAGGAGAGATTGCAGTGTGACCATGCTTTCTCCTTTTTCTCCTCTCTCTGTTTCCCTGACTCTCTGGTGAACACAGTACCCTCTGGTAATTAAAAAGTAAAGATTAAATGCATATGGGTGGGCCCTATTTTGTGTGACTGTTTTGGAAACAGGGCCGTCAAATAAATGATCAAGTTACAGTGAGGTGTCTAGGAGGCTCCTAATCTGATATCTGGTGACTTTACAAGCGGGAGGACAGCAAGGACACAAAGAGAGGAAAGGTCATGTGAGGACAGGGCCGGAAGGTGGCCGCCTTACAAGCCAGAGAGAGACCCTGCAAGAAATCAAACCTTCCACCAACTTGATTTGGAACTCTAGCCTCCAGATTGCGAGAAAATAAATCACTTTTGTTTAAGTCACTCAGTCTGTGGTATTCTGGAAGTCTGTGAATTACTTACCTGTGCAAAACAAGCCAGTAAAGGATTATACCAAAATCTTCTCTCAGCTGGCTCTGTGGTGCACTAGTAATGTGCTACTCGACAGGGGCTGGACCCCACAGGGCAAGTGTGTTTCGAATCCCCAGCCTGGTCAGCCCGGAACATGCTGGTCCCCGGCAAGTGCCCAGACTCAGAGGGCCGGAGTCAAGGGGATGGCGGCACGGCCAGACTGCGGAGGCTGCTCCTCTCACTTTCTCCTGTTTCTCTCACTCTTCAACGTGTGCGCACACATTCCACTGTAAATAAAGATGGGAGAACTCCTCTCTTCGAGGACTGAGTTCCTAAATCATTCTCCCTTCTTGCAGTAAAATCACTTTCCTTTATGGAATTCCTCTTTCAAGGAGGAAGAGAACAGATTTAAGAAATTCATATTAAAGTGAAAATACTGCCTTGAGCTGGTGAGTAGGTCTAAAATGCAATGTTCAAAAACCAATGGCTGCCGGGAACCAGCAGTTAGCGTAATGGCTATGTCGCTGGACTCCCACGTAGTCAACCGCGGTTCGTGTCCCGGACCCAGTGGCTTAAAAAACTCACGCTGGGCGCGTGTGCGTGCGTGCCCAAGATCCCGAGAGGAGAATGGAGGAGAAGGGATTGCAGCGTGACCATCCCCCCTGGGGGGTGATTTCTCGCTTTCTGTCTCTATGTCTCTCTCTGTCTGTCTGGCGAGCGCACGCGCCCTATAGTGAAAATCTCTCAAAAAAAAAAAAAAAAAAAACAATGGCTGCCATTGACTACTTTCTAGGCCATTATCAAATCCTCAAATATAATAGATAATTAATCTTTGTAATAATCCTCAGGGATACACAACACAATAGTCCACCACTGTTTTACAGATAAGGTTTAAAGAGAAAAGGCAACATGCCCAAAAGCACATAGCAGGACATAGCAGGTCTGAAATCCAACTCTGCAAGTCTAATTAGTAAAACTGTTATTACTGGTGTTAGCTTCCTCCAAAACGGTCGAAAAACTATAGTAATCAATTATTACTGAGGCTCATGAGCTGTATCTGTAAATAACATCGATCAAGTACTACATAACTACAGGATGTTCTGGAGGACGTTGACATCTTCACTTCCTACAACAGAAATATACTGAAATGCAAACCACATTTTTTTCAAAGGAAAATTAGTTTTATAAATGTTAAGTGCAACCTGAGTGAAGAATTCTGTGTCAGAATAAATCAGCTGTTAATTGCTATACATGTGAAGACACCTACAAAATCCAGTAGTTAAGTAAAGTAATAAAACTACCGTTCAACTCTAACCTAGAGTCCCATGGACTCTGATTTTATAAACTACTCCTGATAGTCACAACTCAGACATAAAATTAAAAAGTTAGATCTTTGCTGAATCAAAAATTTGATTTAAAGCTAATGTACACCAGTTCAATATTTAACAACAGCATCTGTCTCTCCTACTTTCTGATATTTTAGAGAGGCTATGGGACAATGATTTGAATTGTCTGATTTCTTTACAGACTCCCCTTTCAAAATAAAGAATACTCTTTTCAAAACTAGCCATTTTAATGCCTGATGGTGGGGTTGGGGGTTCCTAACGTTTTTTATTAATGTGGATTAGAACTAAAATTTCCTGACAGTGGTTCTACATGCATTCTTAACTTTTCTCCCCTTATAGATTCATTATGAAAAGCAAGGTGAAGAAATGCCGATCGTTAGCATTAACCCTTAATACACTAACTTAACAGGACAGAAAAAGAATAAAGGAAAAAATATAATTTGGCTCACCCCCCATCATGTACTCAATTACTTAGCGCTGTTGCTAAATATGTGCTGTCAAAACGCACATGCACACTGAACATCACACTGCACTGAAGCACGCAGCACCTCAAGTCCGACCTGCAAGTGATCACAGAGGAAACTGAGGCAGTTACGATAGCCACATTTCTCAAACTCATGGCCACTTTGTACTCTTAAAAACCAGGAGCTCCAGCCTACTCGCGGGGACACATGCTGCTGAGACTCTGTGCTGCAAGGCTGAGACCACGTGGGAAGCTCAGGTTTGCTAAGGGCCAAATATGGTGGTGGTATGTACCTGTAATCCCAGTGACCCAGGAGCTTGAGGCAAGAGGATCACAAGGTCAAGGATGGCCTGGACCACATAATGACATCCAATATGAAGAAAAGTTAAGAGTGGTGGTGTGCACCTGCAGTCCCAGCTCAGAGGCTGAGGCAGGATTGTGATAGTGAGGACCTGTTTTAAAAAGCACTAATCTAGGGGCCAGCAGGTGGTGTGGTGACTGAGGGTGCTGGACTCCCACATGGCCAACTGCAGTTCAAGTCCCAGACCTGGTGGCTTGCTTTCTCACTTTCTCTCTCCCTCCTTGTCCCTGTCCACCTCTGGTCAAATTAAAAATATAAATAAACATATGAATAAATAAAAGTTAAATAAAATAATTCTTAAAATAAAATAAAATAAAAAGCACTAATCTAAAATATAAAGCCCTGAGAGTCCCAAAAAGCTTTTGTACATATCAGTTTTATCTATGATACTTACCATTTAGAAAAAACATAAACAGAGAAAATGTTTAAATATTTATTTATTGGCACCAGCAGTTAGCGTAATGGCTATGTTGTTGGACTCCCATGTAGTTGACAGCGGTTCGAGTCCCAGACCTGGTGGCTTAAACCTCAGGCCGGGTGTGTGTGCATGTGTGTCCAAGATCCAGAGAGGAAAATGGAGAAGGGACTGTGGCGTGGCCATCCCCCTAGGAAGTGATTTCTCGTTTTCTGTCACTCTCTGTCTGGCGAGCACATTCACTCTATAGCAAAAACGTCTCCAGGGAACCAGCAGTTAGCGTAATGGCTGTGTCGCTGGACTCCCACGTAGTCGACCGTGGTTCATATCCCAGATCCGGTGGCTTAAAACTCACGCTGGGTGCGTGTGCGTGCGTGCCCAGGATCCCGAGAGGAGAATGGAGGAGAAGGGATTGCGGCGTGACCATCCCCCCTGGGTGGTGATTTCTTACTTTCTGTCTCTGTCTGTCTGGCGAGCGCACGTGCCCTATAGCAAAAACCTCTCAAAACAAAACAAACAAACAAAAAAAAAAAACCAGAAATGTCTTCCTCCCCCTCAAAAAAAACTTAGTTTTGTACAGCTCTACAAAATGTTTTTTTTTTTTAGCTAAGCGTTATTACAAAAGAGTCAAATATAAAAATAAAGTTACAGGGAACCAGCAGTTAGCGTAATGGCTATGTCACTGGACTCCCACGTAGTCAACTGCGGTTTGCGTCCTGGACCGGGTGGCTTAAAACTCACGCCAGGCGCGTGTGCGTGCGTGCCCAAGATCCCGAGAGGAGAATGGAGGAGAAGGGATTGCGGCATGACTATCCCCCCTGGGAGGTGATTTCTCGCTTTCTGTCTCTCTGTCTCTGTCTGGAGAGCGCACGCGCCCTATAGCGAAAAAACCTCTCAAAAAAAATAAAAAAATAATAAAGTTACAGTGAGCTAAGGTTAATTTGTTATTTGAGAAAGAAACAATTTTTTATACAGGTAGTATATCCTAAGTATACAGTATTTATAAAGTCTAATGTCCTAGGCCTTCCCATTCACTAACTCACGTATTCAAAGCATCTTCCAGTCCTACAAGTCCTATTTATGCTAAGTGCTCTATACAAGTGTATCACTGTTTATTGGTTTCTTATTTTTCACCAGAGACAGAGAGAAAGCGAGAAATCTGCCCACCCCCCCAAGGGGATGGCCAAGCTGTGATCCCTTCTCCCTTCTCCTCTTGGAATTTTGGGCACAGCATGCACATGCGCCCAGCACAACTAAGCTGCAGGATCTGGGATTTGAACTGCGGTTGACTACATGGGAGTCCGGGAACATCACCATTACACCATCTGCTGAGCCTGGTTTTTTAAGAGTCTGTCTCACCCCATCGTGATCCTCC